TTTTCTTATGACGCTAATGTATGTATTATTATTCCGATTTTGGTAAAGTCGGTCATTTTTGCTAGGTGAGTGTACATTTAAGAAAAATTCTGTGGTATTCTGTAAATTATAAGAAATCATCGTCTCTGATCCAGCGAGATCCGCTGAGATCTTAATTTTTATTTTTATTTTTTTTATTTTTATTTTCTTTATTTTATTTTTTTAAAAAAACTAAAGAACAAAATATGAAAAACGAAAAAAAAGAAAAGAAAAGAAAAGGAAAGGAAAGGAAAAGAAAAAAACTAAATGAAAGAATCAAAGACTGAAGAACCAAAGACCAAAGATCAAAGAACTAAAGACTAAAGATTAAAGAACGAAATGAACAAAATAAATAAAATAAAAACAAAGATTGAAGAATCAAAGACTAAAAACTAAAAAACAAAAAATGAAGAACAAAATGAACAAAACAAAGAAATAAAGAACCAAAGACTAAAGAACTAAAGACTAAAGAACAAAAAATGAAAAAAACCACTAATGAAAGGACTAACGAAAGTACCACCAAACAACTAACGAACTACTAAAAAACTACCAAAGAATTACCAAAGAATGAAAAAAATAACTTGATTGCTGGGACTCGCATTAAATGGCCTAGGATCCGCGTACTCCCTCCCTCTTTGATAGCATCATACATTTCTCTTGCTACCTATATCATTTTCTGATTAGCTTTATATCTGAATTGGTTAATAAAGTTTTACTTATTTTTTTTTTCACTAAATAATTTTTGATTGCAAAGTGAGACAAATGTTCGTTGAAATCTTAAATAGTTAGAAATTGAAATAGCGAACGGAAAATACTCCCTGTCCTTTATTATGAGTACAGAACTCGACGCGAGTATAAGGAATATTGAACGTATAGCAAATGGAAAAAGTAGCTAGCGTTGAAGCGTATCCATCTAGTCGAGCGCAGTCATTCACAGGTAGACTCCCATAGTATGGTAATAACGTCCCTGCTATCCAGATGAATGAGCTCAGTCTTTTCCCGACCTTCAACCTAATACCTAGCAGACGCTTGTGCAGGGGATTCTCCCACAGATATACAAGCGAGTAAGCTCAGTTTTTTCTGCTTGAGTAAACTAGCTACTGTATGCTTTAATGAAAAAAAAATTCTTCTATATATAAATTTTTGTCATTTGATTTGTGTTACCGAGGCCATTGTGGTACAATCAAAATTTTAAGAAGCGCGTAATCTAGCGAGTGTCTAACGCGTTACAAAAATGAGATCACTCGAGGTTCGTGAAGCTCAAAAAAAATTCTTGATAGCTGACGAAGATCCCCGTCCGACGAGATTCTTTATGCAATACCATTACCGCCGTAAGAATTCTGGTTTTCGTGATTATAAGTTACGATTAGATGAAGCATTACAAGATGACCCATATTCAAAAAAATTATCAAGTTTAAAAAGGAAATTGGAGGCTTACGAGTATAGGGAAGACTGGGAGAGCTACGAGGATGAGAGACGAAACCGAAAAGCTGATGTATGTTAATTTTTTTTTATTTAAGCTTAAGGAACTGGAGCTGGTACTTACAAAGCAAACATCTTCGAATAATAGAAAAAAGTAAAGAAAACGAAACTTGAAGCACATATCAACTTTCACGGTCAGTTAGATAAAAGGCTTACGAAGAAGGTAAGTTATTTTATTAACATGTCTCCATGAAATAGCGTAATTTTTTCGCTGTTGTTGATTTACCTTTATGATATATTGTTAATATTTTTCGCTGATTTAGAGTCAAACCGATGGAAATCAAACCAACAATATATCGGTGCCTCAATCGACGGAATTTACTGATATTATTCATAAGACCGGAGAAGATCAGGCTCAAGTTCGGTTTAATAATGATAATACAGGTCTTTTTAATGACTTAGATGTCGATAACGAAGGTAACGAAAGAAATGACGAAATTGAGGATATTGTCGAAACGAATATTAATAACGTTCTAGGTTCGCTTAAAAATTTTGCGTCTGAGGTAATTTATAGTTTACATCATATTATTAGTATCAAATTTGGACTATAAATTAATGGGATGGATCATTTTTACAAGGATAAATCAAGTATACTGGAAAATTTGGAAAATCGGTTGGCTACTGCATACAAGGTTGTTTCCCACTTTGATAGACAATTTCCGTACACGAAAGAACTCTACAATACATTCCCCGATCAAATGAAAACAATGGAGAATGAATGGGAAAAGGTAACGTAGTTTTGGATTGGGCAAATTATGAATTATTGACTTATAATAATAATTAGGTTGAAACCAATATCCAAAAAACAATCGAAGAAAGATGGAATGTATCTAAAACGAAAGAACTTGTAGATAAGTACTATAAGATAATAGTAGATCATTTTGACGAATTTTTGGATGTTGATCACGAGAAGCTTATTATGGTGTTCAGTAAACCTCCCTATGATGATTTTTCTTATAAACGTGACGATGAATTGATTTGGTGTCAGAGAATATTTATTGATTTGTAGGTTTTTCATAACAAGTTTTTTGTTTTTTTTTCTGTACTGTTGTTATAATTTATTTTTCCCACATCAGGACTCGACAATTTCTACGTAATAGAGGTGCTCTATTTGATAAAGAAGCCTCTGAGCTTCGCTATCGTTCGGAAATTGTGAATCCTTTGCTTGCGGGGGCATTTGAAATGATTGAACGTTCTATATGGCTTGAAACCGGAGAAATTGAGAACGAAATACAAAAAGTGCAACGGAATGATACTAAGGAAGATAATGAGCGGTCAAAACTTGGAATGAAACATGATGGTGTGATCAATATGATAATACACGGAAAGAAATATCAAGTCGGATTTCTTGAGGTCGTAGGCAATGCCTTTAACAATGACATAACTGATAGGAATATTGACTTAGAGAAATTATATAAAGGTATGCCTTTTATTACCCACCATTTAGTTCAAACACTATGCTGACTAGCTGTATTTCTCCACGAACCATAGCAATGTCATTATCATTGTGGAATCAACGTGCACATCTCGATAATGAAACTTCGCAACAATTATCAACTCTTGCTGTATTAGTCCATGGTAAATGTGAACACGTTTTGCACTGATTACATTAGATCATTAATTAATGCAACTCAATCGATTTAAATAGGGAAATTTTTTAATTTCTTAAGCATGCATTACATTAATAATGAGTTTGTGGTTAAGAATTATGATGATTTCATATTACCAACAACAAATGAATGTCTGGTGAGAATACCTAAAATAATAGAAACGATTGCCAAATTCAAGGTAATATTTTATGATGGTTTTTAACGTAAGTATTATGTACTCTCCATAATAATATAATAATATTTTCATGCAGATAAGAATTATGATGTATCATCGAGAACATATGGCTAGTTTCCACAAAGTAGTGCGTTCGCCAAGTGATAATCCACCCAATGCTTCACCACAAAAGAAGAGACAATGATAATCGTCTCTGATGTTACTTGCATAGTTTAGTTGCAACGATTTATTTCCATATATCACGTGTAATGACGCAATATCTACGGTAGAATCACATGTATAAGACACTTCCTCGCTAAATTTATCTGCAATGTACTGTATATGGATATAAAATTAGCATATAACATATAAACCCTTTGTAATTGCAATATTCCCTATTCACTCGAACCCATTCCCAGATAAGTAAAAATGAATCATGATATTCTATTACATATACTTGAAATAAATCACTATAAATTATTAAACACACTGTCAAAATCGTTACAAACCACCTAAAAGATGGATTTAGATAGTAAAGCCTATTTTAAGCTTTCTAATCCTGATCGTGATAGAAATATGAAAGAACAAGAAAAGCATTATCCCTTTTAGAAAAGAAGCATAATCATGAAACACCAGAAATGTGGTGCTCTTGTATTCATGACCATTTAGGACAATACTTGAAGAGAACTCGGGAATCTTTTCTAAGAATGAATATATTAGAAAATGGTAAAGGGTTCCATTCTGATGGAAATCTAACAAATTATATATACTGATTGTAACGTATGTGACTTCCTGGTATTTATCCCTAAAAAGTATATAGGTGATCATTTCTATTAAGATGGTCACTTGAAGACAGTGTTGTCATGGGACATGGACATGGACGTTGGACGTCCGGGACGGGACAGTCCGTGTCCATGTCCAGAAATTTTT